TGTGAGAAATATTTAAGTCACCCACCCAGTGGTATTTGTTATGGCAGCCTGAGTATACTAATTTGTATACTTTTATTACATTTTATAAATAAAATATATTTAAAGGAAAAAAATCTTTACATTTTGGTACCCTTAATAGCATTCTCCACTTAATGTTGAACAAGGGCTTCTACACTTTATTTTGCACTGGGCCCTGTAAATTACATAGCTAGTCATGCTCTGAATTCAGAATGTGTCTCTTGGGGCCAGCAGGAGGTATTGTGGTTAAGTTGCTGGACTTCCACATGGATCATGGTTTCAGTCCTGGGCCTGGCAGCTTGAAATTCATGTGGGGCACAGCTGCGTGCCCAAAATCTTGAAAGGAGAATGGAGGAGAAAGGATTACAGTGTGGTCATTTGGGGTGATTTATCATTCTCTGTCTTTCTGTCTCTCCGGCAAGCACATGTACCCTATGGCAAAAATCCCTCCAAAAAAAGTGTCTTCCTAGGGCCTCAAAGTGGTTCATATCTCATACTCTTCCTAAATCAGCTGCTTCCACCCTGCTCCATGGGGCCTTTCAGGTCAAGTACTCAATATGTCTGCTCACTCTGTCTCAGAGCCCTAACTCTAAATGTCTGGGAGACAGAATCTAATTGGCTTGGTCCATACCAGGCATTTGTTGGTCCGGTGTCAGGTGTCTATCTGTTTCAAGGTACACAAGTGTACCTGCCTATTCAGGCCTGTATTTGCTGGGCTCAAGTGGAAGGCATTTGTAAAGGAGGGGCTTGGGACTGGGCTTGTACTCCTAACTGACAGAAGTTCATGTTTTCATAGAGGATAACTTGGCTTTGACTTTCAACTTCTTTTTTTTTTTTTTTGGAGAGGTTTTTTGCTATAGGGCACATGTGCTCGCCAGAAAGACAGAGAGAGACAGAAAGCAAGAAATCAACCCCTAGGGAGGATGGTCACGCCGCAATCCCTTCTTGTCCATTCTCTTCTCAGGATCTTGGGCACGCACGCACACGCGTCCAGCGTGAGATTTAAGCCACCAGGTCCGGGACGTGAACCGTGGTCGACTACGTGGGAGTCCAGCGACATAGTCATTACGCTAACTGCTGGTTCCCTCAACTTCTTTTTTTATAAGGGGTTCAGCATTTTCACTCTAAGAAATAAATATAACCAACCATAATTTAAAAAGCAAAAGCTAAAATCAATGTTCTGTGCTGAGAAGTATTTCTGAGCTGCCTTATTCAATTCTTCATTGACAATGAACCCATTAATAATAGGAATATTCAGAGATTTTCAATAGAATAAAACAAATGACCACTTGTTTTTATGTAAAGATACTCTAAATTCATTGAACATTAAACCATTAAATGGCAACAATATAAAGAAAAATAGAACTATTGTCCATTGAGACAAATTTTCAGAGCATATTTGTTGCAAAATCTATATTTATCATTAAAAAATCCAATAAAATAAAGACTCATATATTTCCAGGAGTAAATTTGAAAGATTCTTGTTGAAATGAAAATATACATTAAAAATCACTGATTACCCAAAAAATTGAATATGATAACACTTCAGCAACCTACAAGTCAGATTTAATGACAATTTCTATATCTTGAAACACAGAAATGGAACAAAGTTCTCAAGGCACTGAAATCTTTTTCAAAAAATCAATGCACTGAAGCTCATTTGCTTTAATTATAGACGAGCAACTCCATCACAGCCTACACCCTTACTTTGTACACTGTCTAAAGAACTTTGATTATCTCGTTTGCCAGCCCACAGCAGATCAAAGCCAGCAATTTATTAGGGTAGCAGAGTGCGGCTAAAATACAGAGAGGAGATGATTGGCATCAGGCAGGAACCTAAACAGGAAGAACTGTAAAAAAAAAATCACAATCTGGAGACACCTGGTGCGTGCATCATCCATTCACCATTCTTACGTACTTTTTGCTTTTTAAATTTTGTCAGAAGCTTTGTGCACTCGCTGGAAAGAGACAGAAAAGAGAGACAGGGAGGGAAAG